CTAAGTCTTGTGGTCTTTCCTTAGAGTCAAACATTGCTTCTGAAGCGAAAATGGTTACGATTCTGTGAAGGTTAGAAGCTTTAGAAATTAAGAAACGAGCTCCAGCTCAAATCAATCATGTTTCTGCCTCAAGATGTCATAATTGTCAGTCTCCTACCCACGTTTCAGAGGAATGTCCTCTCCTAGGAAATAACAATACATTAGAACAGATGAACGCTGCATTCCAGCACCCTAGAAATGATCCATTTTCTCCAACCTACAATCCAGGTTGGAGAAATCATCCCAACTTTGCATGGAATCAAGGAAATTCTCCCGGAACTCAACACTTCACTCCCACTTCGACCAACATCTAGCACGTTGAATTCCTTCATGCAATCAACCGGACAAATGCTCAACTCCAACACTCAAGCTATAGCTAGATTAGAATCCCAACTTGGTCAACTAGCTAGTGCCGTGAGTGAAAGAGAGAAAGGAAAATTTCCGAGTCAACCCGTGGTCAACCCTAATAACACAGGATGCAGTTCATCCTATGAAGCTCAAGTGAATGCAATCCATTCACTTCGGTCAGGTAGACAGGTCGATAATCAAGTGAGAACTCCTCCAAGTCAAACTCTTGATCCTGTACAAATTCCTTCTCCTTCTCCTTCTGATGAATCTATTCAACAATCACTCCCCTCAGATGACCAAGAACCTGAACCCGAACCTGAGCCTGCTTTTGATAGATTTAGACCGGTTGCTCCCTTTCCAGATAGACTCAGGTCTAGGAAACACTCTCCTCAGGAGGAGAAGATCCTAGAAACATTCAAGCAGGTTAAGGTCAATATTCCTCTCTTAGATGTAATTGAACAAATTCCATCTTATGCTAAATTTTTAAAAGAATTGTGCACTAAGAAGAGGAGAATAAATGTTCCAAAGAAAGTCTTTTTAGCCGCCAATATCAGTGAAATGCTGTCAAATCCCATACCTTTGAAACGTAAAGATCCAGGTTCCCCCATCATTTCATGTATCATTGGTAATACTCACATTGATAAGGCGCTTTTAGACTTAGGGGCCAGTGTCAATTTGCTTCCATATTCAGTCTATCAGCAATTGGGTCTAGGTGTACTGAACCCAACCAAATGCACCTTACAGTTGGCTGATAGATCTGTCAAGGTCCCTATGGGTGAGTTAGAGGATGTTCTGATTAAGGTTGGAGACTTTATTTTTTCAGTAGATTTTGTAGTTTTGGAAACACAGCCTGTTTCCAATCCCAAAGGACAGACACCTGTCATCTTAGGACGACCGTTCTTAGCCACTTCTAATGCTCTCATCAACTGTAGAATTGGTCAAATGAAGCTGTCCTTTGGGAATTTGACTGCTGATCTCAACATTTTTAATCCAGGGGACCAACCAAATAATCAGCCTCTAGAAATAAACTACATTCAAGAAAGATCAGAAGAAGAAGAAGAAGAGTCTGATTTGAGTTTTGAGGAAATTTTTGTTGAACAGTTAGAATTTTTAGAAGAAGCAGATTAGGTCCTTGAGAATAATAAAACTGTGTTAAACATGTGCTCCTTTGAATTAAATTTTGAAGAACTCTTTTTTGATGAACTTAGATTCTTGGAGAATAATCAACAACCAAATTTTCAGAAAACTTCACAGAAGAATTGGTTGTTAGAAAACAAAACTTCACAGTACAAGAGTCTAAGTTCATTAAGAAATACAAAATGCATAACACCAATAATACCTACCTTACCTTATTGCATGAATTACTGAACACCCCGAAATGCTTGAAAATTCACATTATTAATTATATCATTCTGAATTTGTTTAAAATCCGATCACTCTCTAAGTCACAAATCCACAATGCCAAATTATACTATGTATGTAAATACAATAAGCTGAATAGGTTTTGTGTGAACAAAGAGTATAATCAAAATCAAATATAAACTCAATATAAAATCTAGCTTATGAAAATTATGATCAAAGCAATAAATAGTTAGAATTGAGTTCAAGGAAACTTCTCTATGATGACAAGAGAGAGAGAGAGAGAGATGAGTTGAATGCCCAAACATAATTGATGATCTCCTCAAGATCTTGTTAAAAATTCTTCACAAACAAACTTTGTAAAAACAAACAAAAACACCCTTAAACTTGTTTTAACAATTCTCTTGGATATCTCAGAAATTAGGGGGCAAGGGGTATATATAGGTTCACAATACAAACACCCAAAAACCAAGAAAAACCAAGCAAAAAGACAAAATAATAGAAATTGAAAAACTAGCCATTACAGGCCATCAGTCAACTGACGGGATTGATTAGTCGACTGATGAGCTGACCGTTACAGGTAGCTCACAGCACATGAGTCGACTGATGAATCCCGTCAGTCGACTGATGACCTCATCAGTCGACTGATCAGTCGATCGAAAAAGGAACAAAAACTATTGATGATTACAAACATTTTTTTCAGTCGACTGAACACTTGCATCAGTGGACTGATAATATAATATCAGCCTGTAATGAATATTAAAACTAATTTTTGAAGTGCCTCTAAAAATAGCAAATAAATTCAGTAAAATATAAAACTTTAGGAAATATTTATAAACATGATAATAAACATTAGGAAATATTTTCAAATTGCACTTCACATTTTTGAAAACTCATCACTTTGCAAAATATCCAAAACATGAAAAGTTGATAGACATGAAATTTGATGTTTTAACATAAACCAAGTTTTGAAACTTTGTGAAGTGATTTTATAGACTTAATGAAATATGTATATAATGATTGTTAAGTCCATAAACAAATAACTCAACATTTTCATAAATTTATATTTATATAAACTTGAAAACCAAAAACCAAAATGTGTATATATATAACTATATATATATGAGATTAATGGAGGTCATTGACATAGGAGGGAGTTTCCTCCTATGGCGCTGATGTGGCCAGATCTCAGCCACTTATCTGTTTTCAATGGGTGTAATGGGTCTGAGGCAATTTTGCACAAACACCCTCATGTTAAAAAGAGTGTAGACAGCTCATCTCTCTCTCTTAAACGCCTTTCCCCATCTCAATTTCTCTCTCATCACTCTCTTCTCTCATTCTCTCTTATCAGCCACCGCAACGTCGACGGCGCAATTCCTCCGTCGAGTATCGGCCAACCCCTCTTTGCTACTCGCCTTCGCCCTCTTCCAATGTCGATGAACACCCTCGCCGACCTCCCCTTACCTTTTTGATCGGATCTGCTCAGATCCCATTGCAGAGCCTCGCTGACCTCCCCTTACCTTTTTGATCGGATCTGCTCAGAACCCATTGCAGAGCCTCGCCGACCTCCCCTTACCTTTCGTGTTCTGATCTGCTCAGAAAGCTGCCCACAGATATGGTTTCTTCGCTCCCCTCTTTCCTCAACTCTAATTAGGGTTTTCTTCGCTCCCCTCTTTCCCCAAAATTACGGTTTTTTCCTTTTGCAAGACAATTTTGTTATCTCTAGGTTGGAGAAGATCGATTGGGGCTTTGCTTCTGCTTGAGTTCGGGGAAATCTGGGGAAATTGTGATGAGTCGGATTAGGGATCGATAGAGGGATCAATCTTGTGACGTACTTCGTTCCTCTTTGCGAGTGGCATCCTGTCTTATTGGTGTTTTAGCGATTGTATATCTAGTAAATTTTGGGGTTAATTATGTTATACTCATGGGTTTCGTGGGTAGATTGATTCGGCGAGCGCATTTTATAAACATAATGTTTGTAGCTCAAGAGTCAGTCAAGGAATATGCTTTTCTTTACAAACAAAATCGCCATGTATCTTTAATTTCTGATCTTGTTTTGTTAGTGTTTTCCCCCCTGATGAACAGTTAACGTGCAAATGTTGTACACTTTCTTTGATGGCGAATTCTGACTTCCACATTCATTCTTTTCTCTTTATTCGGTGAATTGGAGTCACAGAGTTAAGAAGTAGTAGTTGAAAAAATATGAGTTTTTTGGTTATTTTCATGTTAATTTGAAATATTCTTCTAATTTCTAAATAGTTTAAGAGAATTTGTGGGTAGAAGCAAAGATCTTTGTAGCTATGGAAAAGTGGTAAGCTTTTGTTTTAATGCTATCACTTTTTATTTATCAAGATAAATTAATTCATTTCCTTATTATAGGTGTTGTATCGAAGTGTTAAAGATGGGAATCAATATGCATGAAAAGTGATAATTTTGGTCTTTTCAATGCAGAGCAGAAGTATCTTCATTGTTTAGGAGGAAGTAACGGCTGCTCTCATCTCTCCTTAATCAAAGAGAAGCAATGCAAGTATTGGATCACCACTCTTTCTCTTTTCGGCAACAAAACGAATCAAAGAACAAATCTTTTATGAGTCAGGGCTCGATTCGTTATTAGTGGAAGACTCAAATATTATGAGCAGGTTGTAAAGAATCAAAGAAATTTTGGGTGAAGCTTTGTATTTGAAAAACTTTAGGAGCCTTTGTAGCAATGTGGATACTTTTATTGAGAGTCATGTGCTCATTTCTTGTTTGCATGGTACTGTCTAGATTGACAAGTTGAGAGAAAATGTATTTGCTCAGGCATGTGCTCATTTCTTGTTTGCATGGTACTGTCTAGATTGACAAGTTGAGAGAAAATGTATTTGCTCAGGTATGCCTGAGTATAAGCTATGTATTTCTCGGTCTAGATTGACAAGTTGAGAGAAAATGTATTTGCTCAGGTATGCCTGAGTATAAGCTATGTATTTCTCAATTGTTTTAATGAAAATGTTTGTTCACTGACCCAAATGAAATGTTAAATGTTACTCATTGTATTTTATACTGGTGCAAGGCAATCAAATCTTATAACTTGTGATATTATTCTATCACTCATTGTATTTTATACTGGTGCAAGGCAATCAAATCTTATAACTTGTGATATTATTCTATCATTGTTCCAACACATGCAGCTAAGCAAGGCAATCAAATCTTATAACTTGTGATATTATTCTATCATTGTTCCAACACATGCAGCTAAGCTTCCTACACATGGATTCTTTTTTTTTCATCTCAATCTTTTTTTTTTATCAAAATAGATATCATTAAAGGAAAGAAGTTACACGGTTTCACCTCTCATTGTGAGAGCGATCAGATCTAGAGTGAGGCATCCCTTAATCTTACAAAAGGATCTAGGGGACAAAGTTCTATAACAAAAGACTTGTGAGCTTTAAAACATGGAGCTCCTGAACAAAATTCAACAAACAAAACCCACTGAATACCCACGTCTTCTATTCCAGGCTTCAAAAGGCCGCTGCTACAGAGTGAGGTATAGAGCTCATGAATACCCACACCACAAACATCATCCTGGAAACAGAGCTCAGCCCGAACATCCCAACAGCCACGACCAGCTTCATCATATCCAGAATCACTTCTATGTCCAGCAAGACCATAACCAATATGCTCCAAATTTTTAACTGAAGACATGCTCCAAAATGCTCTGACAGAGATGGGTTAGGACTTGTTGTGATCAAACAAATGGGGGTGTTGCTTTGCAGATATGGGGTCTAAGCAAATCCACACAGCCAATTGGCTACATCATGCTCATCTGTTTGTTGGCTCGAGCCATTCGCTGGCTAAAATTGAAAACCATTAGCTTTTCATTATAATAACTTTCATATACCATTTGTCTAAAATATGCACATAAAAAATCAACAGCTTCTTACCTCGTTGCCAAGGCTGTAGAATGAAAAGTTAACAAGAATTACAGCAAACAGTGTTGTTAAAAGACCAAATTCTAACAGCTAAGAAAGTGTGTTATCTTACCTGCAGGATCCTTAAAAGCTTCCACCAAAACCTGTAACTGGTCCGGAGGTAGAAGACCCAACATTCCTGAGATTGTCCTCTTCACTGCATCCATGGTATCAGCTGGAACATCCTTTTGTATAAGATTCAAATCCAAATGCTCTATCTCTTGTATCAAATTAGAAAGCTGGGACTTTTGCGAGAGACAAGAATAACAAATTTAAATTTATACAGAGCGAAGTAAAAACTAATCTTAAAAATTGCCCATGTAGCTACATAAATAATGTAGTCACCCGTGTAACTACACCATTACTAGATTTTTTTTCCTACCAAATCATCAGTAATCATTGAGCACCAAATGATTATAAAGCAAATCTTCCCCACTTCTAAACCACAAGAAACCAGCACTAGTAGTGCACTAAAAATCTACAATTAACAAATGGTTACCACCGGGTCCATTTGGGTTCCTTCCACTAAAATAGGTACTGATGATTTCCTTGTCAAAAATTATTAACTCATTCGTTATGCAGCAATGTGTTTTAAAAATTGTCATGGATAACCTGAAAATTTTTAAAAAGTATATTCAAGTCTAAAGTATACTCTATTAAAAAATGGCACATGATAGGATGTTCTGCAATACGTATATTCAATGTTGGTATTTATGAAAGATAAAACTATCCAAAATCAATTTGATGTACACCTACCATTTAGCTTAGTCAGCAAAAAGTTCCCCTGAGAAGTTTCACCAATTGTTTCTTGAGCAAGGACAAGAAAATAATCGTGCAACTTCTAATACAAACTCTTTTGTATAATAATCTAAATATCCTCATTTGCAACCATCGACAACTGGAAAAAAGACTATCTACAGTACTTAAATACAGTTAATAATCTAAATATCCTCATTGCTCAACTCTTTTGTATAAAAGGGTAGAGTATCGCTGCTAATTGCACATGCCAAAACACTCATGAATATTCAAGGTATAGCAAGTTGTTGCATATTATTTTTAGCTTAATTATCAATTGGATGTACACCATTTAGTCCCAGTTAATTATATTTGTTATAACTAAAAGCAGCACTAAAGCTGGAGAGTTGAAATTTGAACTAGAGGTTGTGTCTAGAACCTGTGGGAATTGTTATCAAATTACTCCTTGCTTAATTTGAGATTAGATGAAATCTATTTTAATATTATGTCATGAATTTAGCTGTTATGTATTCAATAGTTTCCTAAATAAATAGAAGGTTTTCCTACACTATTCCTTGATATGTGAATGTAATATACCAATCTGGTTTGTCACTTTGCAATGAGAAATTTAGTCCTGTTACATTAGTTATTCTTCTTCTCTGTTGTCTTTTTTTTCTATTATTATCTATTGCAGTCAACCTAGGTTGAATTCAATTCATCTTGTATCTTTACAGATAACATTTCTCAAGATTCATTCAAAAAGAACTGCATGAGAAGCATTCTAATTAATCATTTGAAATCGAAACCAAAACAGTACTATTGAAAAAGACCGAAACATGAGACGTAAACTAAATGTGGGAATAACCAAAATCCTCTTCATGAAATTTGCTAAAATTTTAAGATCTATTCCCTTACAATTAACCAAAATACGTCACCAGGATTTCTAATGGGTCTTGTCGGCGTCGAATCAAAGGGATTGAGGGAGAGATCGAGAGAGGGGGTTCGAGTTATTACCTACGTCGGCGTCAGTGTCGA